AACTTACCAATGCATATAAATCCTGCTCTAGTAATAACCAATGTATCAATGTCGTGGCATATGCACTCTAAATCTGTGATATAGGTAATTTTTTTAATAATATTTTCCTTAAAATATGCATGCATACACGAAAACGAATAAATAACACGTATATTATCCTGAATTTTGTAACGGTTTGATAACATGAGAGAGTAGAGAGTATAATATAGAGGTACCTACATGCTATAATATTGCACGATTTATTCTCGGCAAATTCACATAACGTTTTGGTTTTACACGTCAGAATTTAACATAAATTGGATGTACCTTTTTTATCATCATTGGTAGGTTAGATACCTATAACCAAAGTGCCCTTATATATAAGTGAACTGCAAACGATGTTTTTATTTTGGCAATGTGTCAGATTTTTGCAATCTGTATCACTGCCAATATTTTCTGTTTATCTGATGGCTGTCAAATTTACATCAAACATTATAATTTATAATATATTACATTTATCTTAAAAAAATTAATTATGAAACGAAACGTTAAGTTGAATATTATTATTTTCATTTTTTACATGCTGATACACTTATATAATCAATGTTTAATCTGAATTTAAAAAAATAAGGAAATACAAATGAAGTTCCTAAATTAGTTGAACTGCTAATTGTCATTAAGCTTAACTTAGGATGACATACATATAATATTAAATATAAATTATAATCTCATGTCACTCTCTACTTTCCCACATAAAAACACTTAAAAGTATATTGAAAAGGAAGGTACCTGTACTTGCAAATAAATAGCTTTGACTAAAAGATATAAGCTCCGTGACACTGTCTGACTTATTATAATTTAGAACTGTAATATCCAGTGTACCTTTTAAATCTGGTAAAATATATTTTGTTTTAAAACCAATAATTTTTTTCGCTTTTCTAGCTGTCTAAAAATGGACTTGTTTAACAATTACTTAGAATTAATAAATTTCAATTGAAACTACATGCTGTTACTTGTATTTATATATCACTATATATATATGAAGAAATCGTATTAGAACTTAGAAGAAGTAAAAGGGTAGATCACTTTGCTGGTAATATGCCCAGATGGCTACTCGCATTAGGAAACTAATAGTTTAATGGGGCTTAACTTCGATGTAGTAACATGAAATGGTATCATTTATGACCCATCTCCAACTTGCGTCCTATAATCTTTAATTATATAGACATATATTTATATATCTATGTTTAATTATAATTTATTAGACGGCATTATAATTACACTTAAATAAAATGTTACTGTTGGATTGTTTATTTCTGTACGGGTTATAGTTTTTTAATAACGCTCATCAACCATCTTTTTATGGAAACTTAAAATTCTCCTTTCTCTCGTGTGCATACATATGAAGTAGCCAGTAGGGCTTACCACTAAGTACTCTTTTTTACTTTAACGTCTACACCAATTAATTTTACTTATTATGTGGCAAGTAGATAGTAAGTTATGAAAGGATATAATATCAGGGAAATACATCGTATTTCTCCGTCCCAAAAAATCGGATTATAATAATAATAATAATAATAATAATCCTCTTATTTATAATGTAAAAGGTAAAAGACAACGTTTTTCTAATTTTAGATTAAATAAATAAATATTTTAGTATTTAGATTCTGAGCGTGGAACATTTAATGTATTGATTTTACAATGATTGTGTTTTTTTCTGTCTGTAAACATTTTTTTCTAGTGAAAAAAATGTTTCGATCTTCAAATTTAGCATCTTTCTGATGAGAATGTGAATCTATAGAAAGAATCTATAGAAATCTCTTGAAAGATTAAAATTGAAAATTCGCGAATAAGATACTTGGAATTTTCACCAAATATTAATATAAACTTTTTTTTTATAAATATCGAAAAACATTTCGATGGGTCAAAAAGCACCTAATTTTTAGAAACGTTTATAGTTCAAATGCTGTTGACAAAATTCATTAAAATCATGATATTCAAATACTCAAATTATTTTGTTGTTTGAAAAATATAAAATATTCAATTTGTATAGCTAAGTATTGACAATGTCAAACAAAGTTTCTCATAAGCATTTCATACTGAAGCCAAAAATCTAAAAATTATATAAACTCAATTAATTTTATTAAATATTTTAAGTTCAAATTTGGACGCCTAAAAATTCCTACCCTTAATTAATCAACAAAATTATATTACTTTAAATTTCATTCTAACTTAAACTCTCACAGGAACCCATTAATCAAACAACTATCCTCCATCTTACTTCTCGGAAATGTATGTAGAAGATTCAAAAGATAGTGGCCAGATACTGTAGTCTACTAAAATAAAAAAAAAAAATAAAACACAATAATACCTAAATAGTACCAGGCTCCTGTCACTAACTTCATTAATTATCAAACTTGTTAATTATACCAATTATGTTGTATAGATTGTAAATAATTTTAATTTTTAATACAATTTTAAAAAAAATTTGAACGAAATTACACACCTATTTAAATGGAGAATAACGATGACCCTAGTTATTTTTTTGTAATTTAAAAATATTTTTACTTGAAACTTCTAAAGTTTATCAAATAAAAAGATTTCGTTAAAAAATAATTCTATCTACATACTGCATTATTTAAAGTAAAATAAATTACTTAAGTCTTAAATATAAGTACTATCATAAATTATACTTACAGGAATATTATAAGCACTCAACCTTCGCTCAAAAATCAAATTTATTTTTCGTATACAATGGTTTTAATGGTTTTATAATATCATTAAATTTAAATTCAAGTCATTCATTACAGTGAACAACTCGACACCTGTCTTACATCATGTTGGTGTCCACTTGTGCACCTTTTTTAAGCTTTGGTTTACGTTTGTATAATCAACGCAATATGCCAATATCTGTATCTACTTCTAATTCTACTTTCTAGACTTCTAGTATAAAATGCTAAACTAGCGTAGGTCATGAAATTATTAGGTATATTCATATTGTAGCTGAAATAACTCTATAACAAAGAATTATATTCGTTCATGACATTTTTGAAAATGCTTAATAGGTATGGAGCACCGTCGCGCTTAGTTTTTATTTACAGACAGCCCCACGAGATCCACTAATAGATTTATAATATAACGTTAAGGAGACCGACAATTTTTCACAAATCTAAATAAGGCAGTAAATTCTCGGAGGACTAGGAAACATATATAATTCATAGGTGTAATATTTTTATGTAATATTATTTTATTATATGAATAAATCTAGTTTAAACTTTAAGTATACAAACATTATAAGTAATTTAAAAAAGTACTAAATGTCGTATAGTCAAATAATCTAGATATTATACAATCTGTTTAATAAACATTAAAACTCAACACCACCAAAACTATATTTAGTTGTCTATCAACTTAATAAAATTGTACCTCATTCACTTTAAAATACCTACTTAACTTAGAATTATCATAATAATAATAACTGTATTTAATTATTCAATAATTCAGATTGAACTTAAGTAATTGTAAAAATTGATACCACGCTTAAGATTACCTATTTATTTACTATCGTCTATCATTAACAACATAATTCCTATTAGTAAATAGTAAACCAATAAATAATAATGTTTGTTTATTACTCGACTCCGAATACAATATTAATTGTGAACATCATAATGTCATAATCGTATACCATTGTCCATTTCATAAGTATTTCACCCGTACCATGCATATAATAAAAGGTACCTTATTATTTATACGGAGCAATGAAGCTATCTTAGTAGATGGTATAAAATGAAAACTAATTTATATCGATTCCATATAGATGGTAAAAAAAATCACAAAACGTGATACTTATAAAGTTTAGTTTTTACTAAAATAGTATAAATTAATTATCATTTAATCTATTATCACCTTATTACAGAAAATAGATAAGTTATTAATGTTATTAAAAATGAAAAAGTTATTAATATTACTATTAGAGATTTATTAAAAATAGGTAATTATTGTGCCAATGGAATAGCCAAAAAGTGTAATATAATATAGGTAGCGTATCTCATCATCAAAAAACAAAATTAATTTCACGTGGGTCCCATCACACGAAGGTATCCCGAGGAAAAATAAATAATACAAATAGTTTCAAGTTTCCGTGAATAATCAGTTTTTAAATAACAACATAGATCAGAATCTAAAATGAAGTGAATACTCATTATAAAATAATTACCGATCCGTCACGAATCTAATATATTATATTGACACAATGACGTATTCTAATATTATTTAATCATACGTGTGTATTATATTATTATACTATAATAATGTATATTATTAATATATTATACAAACAGTCAACGGAGAGTATGCGACTATGCGAGTTTGCGAGTAGGTACCTCACAAGCAGGTATGTCACCGGTATGTAATTCGTGCGATGTGCCTTCTGCAGGTATGTGCAGTGTTTGTACCGTGCTTAACACTGAGCACATAGATTATATAGAATAGGTTGTAACTTGTAAATTGTAATTTATAGTCGCTCACAGTTATAATATGTCGATCAGTTTACCTGTATACCAAATAATTAATTACCATTATGGTACGTATGGTGTATGCGTGTACGGTTTACAATATGTTATGTATTTATATAAGCGAATATAGGTAATGGATCATTATAATATTATACTTATACTAAAATAAAATTGAACATGGAAGTTGGAACGCAGTTTTTAATTGTTTAATTGAGCTCATCTACTTAATTGTTCTGTCATGAATTAAAAATGATGTCTTAACAACATTCACATGTATTATGTTTTTATGCAATAGATAATAAACTACATACCATACAAACAAATACTTATTATTACAATTTAGAGGTATAACTTTATAAGACACAAGTGAGTAGTGACAAGTTATAACTTTATGATAAATGATATAGGTAGACAGTACATAGATAGATAATATCATATTTTTTAAATTTGGCGCTCATTTCGTTTGCAATATCATCCTCTAGTAACAAGTAAGCAATTTTGTAGGTTATGTTTAAGAGGCAAGACAATCAATTATTCAAAAACTATTATAGTATTTTAGTCATTTAGTATAATAGTATTATTAGTTATTACTTATTACTTATTACATAAAAAGTTCTTAGGTAATTGGTAAATGTTTTAATTATTAAGTACACGGTTTAGAATCATCTAATTGTTTTTTTTTTCATACAATATTGGTTCATTTTTAAAACATTACAGCGTTTTAACTCCTCTACCAAGTTTGCATTTAGTGATCAGTTTTTGAATAACCATGTCGGCTCAATGTGAGAAAGTAAACTCTACCAGTCCAGCCTGCGAGTTTGGTCCTAAACTAAAGCTGTTACGGTCCAATGACCAGGTCCGGGAACTGCAGACCATACTTAGAGACAAGTAAGTTTGTGGTACCGATACGAATGCATTTATGAAACTAAGCGTTCGTACGGTCCACAGAAACACAAGTCGAACGGATTTCAAATTTTATGCTGACCGTCTAATTCGTCTAGTCATTGAGGAAAGCTTAAACCAGTTACCATTTGATACTTGTATGGTTATGACACCTACAGGTAATTACTACAAAGGTACCAAATATCAAAGAGGTAACTGTGGTGTCAGTATTGTGCGTAGTGGAGAGGCTATGGAGCAAGTAAGAATTTATTAATATTTCCAAAAACTGATTAGCATGTTTACATCTGATTGTTTAGGGTCTGCGAGACTGTTGTCGATCAATACGCATTGGTAAAATATTGGTAGAATCAGATTCAGATACTCATGAAGCCCGTGTAGTATATGCTAAATTTCCTCATGATATAGCTGATAGAAAAGTGCTATTAATGTATCCAATAATGAGTAAGTAATACATAGATGACTAATTACCCAGGCAACACGTGATAATGCTTTATTTTTAGGTACTGGAAATACTGTTATTAAAGCAGTGAATGTTTTAAAGGAACATCGAGTGGCTGAAGACAATATAATTCTATCAAACTTATTCACTACACCTATTGCTGCTCAAACTATTACCACAGCATTCCCATTGGTTTGTTTTATTTACAAATTACTCTTATAAATCTTGGTTATCAGTATTTATTAAATTATGTTTATGACTTTTATGCTTAGATGACTATACTAACATCAGAACTTTATCACATCGCGCCCAATCATTTTGGCCAAAAATATTTTGGTACTGATTAAATATCTTATTTAATTTATTATTTTTGTTTGCACAACATTACATTTTTGGTAAGTAAGACTTTTACCATGCAAATCACAATGTGACCAATTTAAACAGACTTAATTATACATTTTTTCCTATCGGTCAATTTTAATCATAAGATACAATTTACAATGTCTTATAACTTTTTTTCAAGAAAATTTTGTTATTGTTATTACATAGATAGGTTATTAATTATCATTTTGTTCTAAGAACTTATATTTCGACTGAAATGTATTCAATATAAAGCTGTTTATTTACAGTATTCAATTTGAATAAATGATTTAATTTTTAAGTTATTATTATTTTGATACATTTTTATGACTAATATTTTACTAACTGTAAGAAATTACATTGCTATAAGTTGTTTATTTTATAATGGAAATTTGTCTGTAGGTTCTTGAATTATGTAATTTATTCATCCGTTCTAAAACACCGAATTTTCGCCATCATGTACCAAACTATATTTTTGGATAACCTTAAACCGTGTATTTCTTATATGTCCTATACATTAATAAATGCAAATTTTTAAATATAATTTGGAGAAACTTCAGTGTCAAGTGTCAACATAATTATAAATAGAATGTTATTTTTATAAGGGGATTGCAAACAGACAGTTATTTCAGCCAAAATACATCCATCTTTTGTCAATCATGCCGATGGACCTCATAATGCAATAAGACTTCTGAAAACTGATTTAATTTGTTAATGTGTCTACTTGAGATCAATCAGACCACTCTTTAAAAAATATTTATTTGAAAATTAAATTATATCTTAAAATGTGGCCTGATTGATCTCAAGTAGACATATTAATTAATTCAAATCAGTTTTCAGAAGTCTAACCGCGTTATCAAGTCCATCGATTATTACAAACAAGTACAAAAATTACATCAAATGAGTATACATTGTCTACCGTTAATGTGAATTATGCCAAGACGGTGACTTGTACATACTCGTGGAAGGAAGAGCTGTCTGCTATTTTATTTACACACAGTCACATTCACTAATGAACATTTACTACCTAGTAGTACCCACATTTACAAGACCCTCATGCAAAACTGTATATTTGCTATCCACGAAACATCTAAAATTAAGTTGGAAGATAAAAAAAAATTATCTTTTGTCCATCTAAGAGTTTTTTTTTTAAAGTAAATTGAAATAATTAAAACAACTTTTATGTACTTTAAAGTCCATAACAACATCATGAATCTTTAAAATAGGGCTTTTTATCCATAAACAATTTTAATATAAACTTTTATAAATAAATATTTTTTATATGGTTTTTAAATGGTTTCTACCGTTGATTAATTGAACCAACTTTATAGTATTATGTTATACTCATGCTTCTTTGTACCAAAAAATTTGAATTTGTATTATCATAGATAATATAGCACTATAGTTAGGTATACCAATGGAATTATTTATTTATCATTATATTAATTTGTAATTTACTCACTAGTGGTGAATGTCTGATGGAGGTGAGTAGATATTTATTCCCCACCTTCTCCTGCCACAATGTACCACTAGTGACTCACATCTAAATTAGTATAATGAATGATAAATTATTGCATTGGCATTGCCAATCTATAGTGGATATTTAGTTCATGATATTATTAAATAAATAATTAAAACTAGACAAAATTAGTTAGTGTTATTTACTTAAGGATTATTATGTATAGATTTGTAACATTTTATTTAACACCCTTTGAAATCAATACTGTGAAATTGTATTTATTTATATTTTATTTTTATCAGTTTTATATGAATCTGGAAATACAAATCTTAACAAATAATTAATTAAGAAAATTTAAGGAAATAAATTTGAATATTTTTAATAGGTATTTAGTTTTAATTTATTAGTATTAGTAAAAAGATATAACCAATATGATAATAATATAATTCATAAGAGTGTGACCGAGTGGTCTGACGCGTCCGCTGCGACGCAGCCGGTCGCGGTTCGATCCTCGGCTACCGGGCGGCATTTTTCTCCGGACAAGTCGCGGTGACCGGAGAACAAGTGCTGCCATCCCCCACCCCCGGGGCATGGCAGAAACCTACGGGTGCCCCATTCGAAATTCTGCCAAAAAACAAACACACACGTGTTCCCCCCTACCGTTCCAAAAAATATACAATACAAACTACAATACAAAAACCTACTACAGCTAATGGCCTCAGTTGCCGAAGCTTAAGTTCAAAAAAAAAAAAAAAAAAGAGTGTTAAAAAAATGAGCATAAAATAGCCATCTTGGTGAACAAAAATCTTGTAAAAATATTTTTGTACTTTTTTCTTTAACATTTAAGAAAACATCATTTACCATTAAAGTTGTAGAAGTACTAACTTAAATTCTATGTTTTAATAACTAATTAGGATATATTAACCCAATATCCTAAAGAGAATATAATATAGATATCAAATAGAAAACCAACTCCATTATATGATGTCTATAAGTTATAATTAATAAAAAAATTGTATGGCAAATGTAAAAAACAACATAGTTTAATATTTGTCACAACAAAGCAATCAATATAAAAATAAAATATCACTAAAATATTAAAACTTTACTCGGTACAAAATATGAGCTAAAAAGAATGGTTAATTAAATTGTTGATGTAAATATTTAGCAGTATTTTACTATTTTAGTAAAAATATTCAAATCCTTTTATTAATATCCTATACTTAATTAAATGCTTTTAGTTTCAACAATTACAAGCGTCTTTTTGAAATAAGTAATTATATTTTTAATATTTAAAATACATTCTCTAAAAAAGATAATTCAATGTTTCTATAGTATTAAATTGTTTTAGAACATAGTACTTACTGGTTATCACTCTACCACCAAAATTATTAAGCAATATTGACAAATACAATTTTAAAAAAGTTAACCAAAGTTAATTGTGTAGACCTGACTTAGTAATTAGTAGGTATAGTTTATTATATTATATCTGTTATAAAAAGGTACAATACAAATTGTAAAGAGTTATATTTTAATGTTACTTCAAAATTATGTTATTGTTAAAGTGTTAATAGATAAATCAATACAAGTTACTAATATAACAGGGTTTAGTAACATTAATGCATTTAACTGATTATTGTCATTCTTATTGATATTATCATTTATTTACAAATTTTAAATTAAACATTAATTATTTTGTTTTATATTTTTATGTTTGATCAATATTAGTAATATCATATAACAATGGGCCTTAGGCAATAATTAAATTTGAAATTATTAGAAATATTGCCCATATTTAATTTAAATAGCATTGCTGTTCATTTAATTCTTAATTTCCATATCAAAATTTAAAATGATCAATGTTCATTATTTTTAAATTAAAACCAAAAAAGTTGATGTGACAAGAATTTCAAAATTAAAGAAGATCTTATGCAAACTTAACATAATATATAACTAAATATAGGTAAATAAGAAAAGTTAATTCTAATATTTATACTATTACCTAAATCCAGATTCCAGAGTCCATATGATTGGAAGGTTTTAAATAGTTATAAATTTAAAATTTGTGAAGCAAGCTGTAACCTGGATAAACATATTTATGCTAGACATATATGTCAAAAGTATATAGATTGCACAAATTATTGATATATTTTAAACATTACAAACAAGTAGAATGTAATTATTAAAAAATTCTTATACTACATATCTAGGAAGCTATAATAAAAAAAATTACTTAGGTCTTCATACCATGAATCCTTATTAAATAATTTTCTCTAAAAGTACAAATTACAAGGACAAATCATTTACAAGAATTACTGGCAAAATTAATATGTGATATGACTTTAGAGTTACTGAATTATGACAACTGACACAAAGTTTTATTCCAGTAAATATTACCAACTGAATAAATATTACTAAATCGAGATGCTACAATTCACATCCTCAGGAATACCTACTCTAAACCAGTGTTTTCCTTACTTTTCCTCCTCCGGACCCCTTAGACTTTAGAGTACCCACAGTAAAAATTATTGCGGACTCCGTAATAAAAATAACCTATGAATATAAATAATTCACGGAACCCCTTTAGGGCGATGGTAAACTCCCGATTTTTAATACTACAAACTCTCCTGAGTCCTGGGGTAATATTATGTTTACCTGAAGGAATGTGTAAACTCTCCCGGGTCAACTTTATGTTTACCTGAACTCTAAAGTAAATGTGTAAACTCTCCCGAGTTGTTTTAAACGTTATTGCTACACTATGAATTGGCTTCAGTGGAACGATTGTGATTATCATTTTTAAAATGTATTATCAATTGTATTTATGTTAACCTGTATTTGTAATTTAAATATTTTATTATCGTTAACCTATTTTTAATTTAAATATTTAAAACGATGTTGACTATAATGGCTCAACCAAATTATGCAACTTTACCGACAAAATACGAATATGCCCCATGCTTCCCTAGCTTAGTAGTACTGAAGTATTGTAGACTGGCGAGTTTACAGAGTCTCATCGAGTAGTGCTGGTTTAGACCCGGAAGAGTTCACGTGTTCCCGCTAGGTGGTATCGAAGTAAACCCGGGAGAGTTTTCAATCGCCCCCCCCCCCCCCTGGTAGGTACTAGGTATACATGCGGGCCACATTTAGGAAGTGCCTCTCTAATAAGTGGGAAACGATTAAAACCGTATGAAGAACTACTTACGAATTACGATCTGCACATACAAGTAGAACTATAATATTGAAAATCAAAGTCAATATTCTGGTTGAAAGTAGATAATAATGATTGATGATTATCCTACTATGCAAAAATTGAGTTGTTATCAACTTTTTAAAAGAAAAAAAAAGGGGGAAAGTTAGTTGCTCTGCTCTACAGCAGATGTAGAGTGTACGTCGCTGCTAGCTGAATAAAGTTACTCTGATGCATTCATATATCGTTGCAACTTTCCATACAAAAACAAATCTGACTAAAGCGGTCAGCGTATATCAGTATAATATTACTAGATATATTTGTATTACTTTTAAAGTATTGGGTAATTTATTTACCAATACAGTTAGTAAGTTGAATTAATTTTTCCAAAAATAAACAATATTTTAATATGTCATTAAGTATAAAACTATATATAGTGATTACCATCAAATAATAATTTTAAACTACAAAAAAATAACTAAAATCGTTATCCTTTATTTAACTATGTATATCCAAATTTTAACTGTCTACATACAATTTTTTTAGATTTTTAATTTCAAAATAAACTGCTTATGAAACTTGTATTATTTTAGAGTCAGCCAGCCGTAGAAAAAGATGGATCCCTCTGATTTATTATATGTAGAATATAACTAGACACTCTGTTAATTTTACTTTTCACAGTTCACTACGCTGCTCAGTACAACTTGGCAGGTGGTTGAAGCAAATTAGAACAAAATAGAATAAATCGATTTTTAAGAGAATGAAATTGTGAGCAGCGGGTATTATAATTATTTTGCAATATGACTGATTCAAAGGAAAAGCACGCGCTCGATCTCTGTTCATTTCCACTACTAGATGACGCTGTCGTATACTTTATTTTTTATTTAATGAAAATATTGAAAATTGATTTATCTAAATTTAGATCTATTGTACAGTACGTGTACTTGCAACTTGCAACAAGTAATGGGCTAACTGGTCTACTGTACTGACATAAGCCATGAAAACCGATTTAACTTTATTGTCACGTCTGCATGCGATTGACTTTTCCCAACTTTGTCT